GAAAGTGATTATTATCTTTATTGCTTTAAATTATTATTGATTTATATTATCATGATTATATTATTTTATATTGTATATGAAATGCAATAAATTTGTTTATTATATGTTTTTTTTTTTAAGCGTGGGTTTTTTTTTTTTTTTTTTTTTTTTTTCCAGAGTATTTTATGAGCTTTGATACGTATATTTCTCTTAGAATGAGGCACGATTTCTCTTTCGTTTCTTTGGACTCTTGAAAATTTTGTAGTAATCATCTTGGTTTTTGACATGATGATGGTCATCCTTTCGTTTAAATGTGTCTAGACGTCTCACGAGAGTTTCTGGTTTGTTTCCTTTTTTACTTGGTTGAACGACGTTCCATTCCTCTTGTGGTGACCATGGTTCTTGTTGACTGTCACGCTTGACTTTATCCTTTGCTTGAGTTTCTTGGTTTGATAGTTCCATATTAGGTTTACTGTCTAAAACATTGATACCCAATGGATCTAATGAATTTGTAGATTGTACATGATGATTGTTCGATACTGGCTGTATTGTAGTAGAATTCTTCCGTGGCGATGTAGTTGATGACGACGATGATGATGGACTAGATTGGTGATTATCTCTTGGCGGTGCTTCTCGTGGTGCTTGTTGCTGATTAACAGGATATGGCGGCTGGGGCTCAAGTTCCTTTGGTAGTAACGATGATTTGAAATCACTTTGCGAATGACTCTGTGGCGTTTGCGACGACGATTCTGAACTTGTAGAAGTTGGTAACAATGAATGATTGACATGTGATGACTCTGGTACTATCGTTAAACGTTGTGGCAGTGTTGGACGTGATGATAAATCATGCTCTTCGATTTGACGCTTTTGTTCTCGTGGTTGTTGTACATCTTGTATTTGCAGTTGTAGGTTTACATGATCTTGTATAGAATATGCATTGGAAATTCGATGTTTACTAAGTCCTGGTTTATTTTCTTCGATAGGCGTAACATGTTGTGGAACTTGCTGTGGTTGTATTTCATGCGCTTGCACTTGATCTGGTATTACTCGGATTGGATGAAACACTTCTGGATTTTGTTTGATATATCTTGGACGTTGTTGTCGTTGTGCCTTTTGTATTTGAGTTTGGGATTCTTGACGATCTTGTGTGTATCGCTGTAGACTAAATACTTTCGGATTTTCTTCGATATGTTTTAAATTTCGCTGACGTTGTGCTTCTGGGATTTGGAACTCTTGTATCTCTTTGTTTGCTTTTGGATCATGCGATGGTGGTACAAGGCATTTACATGGCGCTTGCTCTTGTAAATTTTCTCTCAGTTTTACTGAATGCTTGTCTGGGTAAATCTGACATTGTGTGCTTTGTATTATACTTGGCTTGGATAGTGATGCTGTCTTTGAAGTTGCAATTTTATTTATTTCTGCTGTTGTTTGCTTATCTATTGACTGGTTATGTTGTTGGTTACTTTGCTGCTGGTTCTGGACAGGTGATACCGGGCCTAGACTATAGATATCTTCAACTCGTACTGGTGTCATGGATATGAGTCTCATTGTATTCTGTAATCGCATCGTTGGTTGATTATTTACAATACTATTTGTTGAACTATTACTGCTACTATTATTACTGTTATTGCTGTCATTGGCTGCAACTGCTAGTGTTGAGGAATCATTACAATTAGCTGTTTCATTCAAAATACTACTTAGATGATGTGATGGAGTTGAAGGCGTTTGTGGTTGTTGCTGTTGAGACGTAGATAGTGTCACTGGTGAGGAAACATGAGCTGGCGACATTGTTACTTGTGTAGAAGTCTGTTGTGGCTGAACTGGTGCCGTAATTCGAGTTTCGTTTACGTGGATTAGTCTTAAGTCCTTGCGGGGCCTGAATTCCGAGAGAACGGCTTCCCCGCTGTTGGCTGTCCTCTTATCTCGTTTCCCGAATTTTCCTTGCAGCAGTCAAGGGTTCGAGTGTTCTGTTTTCCACAGATCCAACAAAAAAGAATTTTTGGATTTCGACAGATTCTTGCCATATGTCCCAACTTCCCACACCTTCGGCATGCATTTGGTGCGTCTTGGATTCTTTGCTCGAAAGATTGGACTAGGTGGTTTCTTTCCTCTCTTAGCCTTGGAGGTCCGGTTTTCTCTTGTTCTCCCCGTATAGCTTCGTAATCACCTGCCATGTCGATTAGTTCTCCCAATGTTTCGAAGTCTCGTCGTCGGATATAAAGCTGGTAGTCCGGATGTGCATTTCGATAAATTCGTTCTAGTTGAGCAACGGCTCCTATACCTGCGTGTCGCATTAGAATTTGGATTGCTACAACGTAGTCTTTGAATGTCTCCCGTGACCTCTGACGGCGGGCCCGAATTTCATCCTCTAATTTCTCAAAGTATCTTGTCGGTAGAAAGAACTTGAGAAAGTCGGCTTTGAAAGCGGTCCATAATTTCCACTGGCTGTTATTACTTCTATACCAATTTAATGCTTTATCCTCCGTCATATTTGCGGGTCTTTGCCTCCGTCATATTTGACAGACCATTTCCGGACTTGTTCTATAGTTGGTGTAACAGGTGGAATTGTTATTTGTACATCGTTATTTACTTCTTGTGTGACCGGTATTGTTTTTGTATGTTTACGCGCAAGGTCCCATAGCATTTCTCTCCGGACCATGTCATAATCTTCTTCGTCGATGTATGCTGCTAGTCTTTTTCGTAATTCATCTACGGATCCACTCGTTTCTAGTTGCATTTCGGCCAAGTAGTGGATTAATTCATCCTTCCGTAAGTGGTACAACCAGGATTTACTCGGCGTGGTAGGTCTTCGAAGTTCTTGGTCGCCAATGTCGACCCTTGTTTTATGTTCCATAGACATACTTGATTTCCTTGAGTTTAATTTTTACCAATGTGATTTTTGTCCTGGATTATTTGCGATAAATGTTACAGTCCCTCTGAAACTCAGTCCTTTTGAAACTCAGTCCTTTTGAAACTCAGTCCCTCTGAAACTCAGTCCTTTTGAAACTCAGTCCCTGCTCGGGCGCCAATTGTAACGTCCTTTTTTCGTTCGTTATGTTTGCTGAGGTATGCAAAGCGGTTGTCCAGGTTCGTTATAATAAAATTTATATCTTCGGGACTAGTTTCTTTAGGAACCAAAATAAAAGCGTAGATTTTATATATTTTATTAATACTTTATTTAATTATTCAAAAAAAACAAAACAATTATAATGGGTATAATTTTAGATAAACAAAATATTATTATCTATATATTATAAGAATTATATTATTAAATTATAATGGTTACAATTCAGATAAACAAAATATTATTTTCCAAGGATTGGAGAAATTTATGATTTCCGCGCGTGACTTTTCCGTAGGGGTGGACTTATGTCACCTCAGTATATGAATTATACATAAGATCAGTTGCTGTCAAAGATGACGATGTTTCGGCGACTGGTTCTGGCTTGTTTGTTATGAAGACTCCTGCCTTTGTGCTAAGGGATGTAATAATTTAGCTGAATGATCAAAGAGAAAATTAAATGAAAATTAGTTTCCTACTTTGATCGAATTGACCAGATTAGGCTGATTAAGCCTGTGAACTAAGATTATCCTGATTTGATCGAATTGACCAGATTAGGCTGATTAAGCCTGTGAACTAAGATTATCCTGATTTGATCGAATTGACCAGATTAGGCTGATTAAGCCTGTGAACTAAGATTATCCTGATTTGATCGAATTGACCAGATTAGGCTGATTAAGCCTGTGAACTAAGATTATCCTGATTTGATCGAATTGACCAGATTAGGCTGATTAAGCCTGTGAACTAAGATTTTCCTGATTTGATCGAATTTGACCAGATTAGGCTGATTAAGCCTGTGAACTAAGATTTTTCCTGATTTGATCGAATTTGACCAGATTAGGCTGATTAAGCCTGTGAACTAAGATTTTCCTGATTTGATCGAATTGACCAGTTGAACTTGTTTATCGTTTGATCTCCAAGACACAAGTTGTTCGCTTTGTGAAATTCGCGTTCTTATATACTGATTTGACCGGAGCTTTTTGGTGTAGCGTACCGGTAAACTTCGTTGTTCGTGTTGATTTTTTGTGCTTCTCGTGTCTTTCTTGTGTATTTTTGTGTATTGTCGTGTTCTTCGTGTTATTTGCATTTTTGCGCACTTTTCTTCGCCTTTCTTTGTTTTCGCCGCGATTACGTTTTGGCTACTTCGTGTTTATATTTTTCTTTAAAAACAAAATATATAAAAATAATATAAAAAAATATATTTATAATTAAAATAAATATAATATGTGTCAAAATAAAAATATAAGTGAGTGTTTTAATACATTGTGGTGAATAGAATTTTAATGCTACTGCATAAAATTAGTGCTGGTGTAATTGGGACTTGTAGTTTGTTTCCTCCGTCGGTGGTTTGTTTATGTTCATAAAAAAATATAATTTAGTAACGCAGTGATTTTGTCTTTTTTTATTTCTTTTGTGTAAAATAAAAATAACATAAACTAAAAATCAGAAGTATTGCTTGTGATATGTTTTTTTTGTTTATCTTAAAAAAAAACGTAACCAGCGAGTGTTGTTGGGTGATTCTATATATTTGTTTATTTTTTCCTATTATCAAAGGTTTATTAAATAATAGTGCAAAAAATGTTTATTAAATAAATGTGTTGTTTATTGTTTAGTAAATGTTCAATGTATGTTTTAAATTAAAATATATAAAAAATTCCAAATTCATTCAAAAAAATTCACTTTTTGTTTATTGCTTCTTCTTTAGGTTTGTGCGGTTTACGGATCAATGCCCGCGGTTCATCTGGCTAGTGGATCACAGGTAATGTCTGTACACTTAAGTGACCAAATATATATTAATATATTTCTTATTTTTTTCAGGTATTTACGATGTTATATTTTGGTGGGTGAGTGCTGGTGTTGGTTTTTATGCTGACGGTCTGACGTCAGATTTGTATTTAAGTATATGTATGGTTGAAATTGTTGTATGGAATTTCAGCCTTTACATTCTCTCCCTTCTTCGGTGAACTGAAAAAAAGTTTGTTTTTTTTGGTAGCACAATTCATTTTACTCGTATTTTTGCTACTCCTCTCCGGCTGATCTGCACTTGGTATACTTTGCCTTGTACTAGACGTTTGAAACTAATTCTTTTTCCTGCACCTCGTTTTCCATTGGCATTGCGGATAGCTTGATTTAACTCGGGTGGCCATTCATCCTCGATCTCTCTGACGTTATCTGCCACTGGTGGTTGTACTTCGACTGCATTATTCATTAATTCGTTGTATAGTTCGTCAACCACTGGTGGTGGTGGTGATGGGCTTAGTTCACCAAAAATGTCATTGCACGTGCATTGTAATACATCGTGATCATCGTTTTCTCCACTTACGTGTGTGGAGATTGCTGGAGCATCTACTTGATTATTCGGTGAGTGTAAGTCACTGATGTTTTGGTGATGATTTTTTTTACCTCGCCATCCAATGGCTTTCGGCAGCAATTCACGGTCGGCGGGCCTTATGTTAGGTTGTGTTTGACTGACTTCTACGGCTCGGATCTTCTTACTGACTTGACTTCCTTGCCTTTTATTTTTAAAACGTTTGTCCATTTGTTCTACTGCATTTGGTAAATAACGGCTGCGTGGTTTGCTTGCCTCGAGCTCTTCCAGTCTTTGTCGTACACGTGTGGCCGTGCGTTTAAACTTTGCTTCGAAATTCGTTGTCATCTTGAACTTTCTTGATCATACTGTCTTCTTAGGACGCTCGTGGTCCTTATATATTGTCAAAAGTGTGCTAATTTGAGCTTTTTGAACCATGATATCAGAGTAGCCCTTTTCTACTTGTTTCTTTGCTTATTATCTTGTACTCTACACCCTGAATATTTTTTTTTGTTAAATTAACCAACTGACTGGAGACAGTTTGTTAACGGTGAAAGTGATTATTATCTTTATTGCTTTAAATTATTATTGATTTATATTATCATGATTATATTATTTTATATTGTATATGAAATGCAATAAATTTGTTTATTATATGTTTTTTTTTTTAAGCGTGGGTTTTTTTTTTTTTTTTTTTTTTTTTTCCAGAGTATTTTATGAGCTTTGATACGTATATTTCTCTTAGAATGAGGCACGATTTCTCTTTCGTTTCTTTGGACTCTTGAAAATTTTGTAGTAATCATCTTGGTTTTTGACATGATGATGGTCATCCTTTCGTTTAAATGTGTCTAGACGTCTCACGAGAGTTTCTGGTTTGTTTCCTTTTTTACTTGGTTGAACGACGTTCCATTCCTCTTGTGGTGACCATGGTTCTTGTTGACTGTCACGCTTGACTTTATCCTTTGCTTGAGTTTCTTGGTTTGATAGTTCCGTATTAAGTTTACTATCTAAAACATTGATATCTAATGGATCTAATGAATTTGTAGGTTGTACATGACGATTGTTCGATACTGGCCGTACTGTAGTAGAATTCCTCTGTGGCGATGTAGTTGATGACGACGATGATGATGGACCAGACTGGTGATTATCTCTTGGTGGTGCTTCTCGTGGTGCTTGTTGCTGATTAACAAGATATGGCGGCTGGGGCTCAAGTTCCTTTGGTTGTAACCATGATTTGAAATCACTTTGCGAATGACATTGTGTCGTTTGCGACGACGATTCTGAACTTGTAGACGTTGGTAACAATGGATGATTGACATGTGATGACTCTGGTACTATCGTTAAACGTTGTAGCAGTGTTGGACGTGATGATACATCATGCTCTTCGATTTGACGCTTTTGTTCTCGTGGTTGTTGTAC